GCCCCGGTCATTAGTTCTGGAAGCGTACCAGGGCGCCCCTGTGCGGAGCGAATGGGTTGAGAAGCTGAATGGATCGGCTGCCCATGTATGCGATGTTGTGGAGACAGAATTGTCTGCATCGAGCCCTCCACAACCACCCCACAACCCTACGTTCCCCGTGATGCCCTACTGTACGGATGCCCCAGGTGTCACCAGAAGCTGCTCCTGCCATTTGAGCCTGGCCGGAAGGTGGAGTAGAGTGTGTCACCATCACCCCTTGCGATCAGCCATGCCAATGGCACAGAGAAAGTGATCAACATTGACTGCTGAAGCTAGACTGAGCTCCTGTATTACGGAACACTGAGGATGTAAATGGAGGGGTGACCTCAAGTGCCTTACATTACTACTGATGTCCACAGCCAAGAGTGACAGTGAGAGTGACGCTAGTGATAGCGGAGCCGTCGGCCTGGAATTTAACAGTGGAGGTAGTGACTCTGTCCCACGTTATGATCTCAGTGTCCCAGCTATTCGTCGACGCCAAATGCGATATTTTCCTGAGTAGTGGCAGTTGGAGGGAGAGGTGTAATAGATTGACCAAGTAACTGTCGACGCCATCTCATCTCTCTCCCTCTCTATATCTTTTCCTTTCTTGAAGACGAACACATTTACTGTTGATCACCACGTATCAATTCTTGTTGAGCTCTGTGTTATTTATTCGCGCTGTGTTTGTGACGTTCTTCCATTTTCCAAAACTATTGTGTGTGTACACGGTGACATAGGTCGCCAGTTTGTCCGTGTTATCTTGGTGTGCGAGCCTGTGACAATATGACAATGTGTGTAGTGTGACGATACAATGTGTGTGTAGACAAACATTACGATTATGTATTTGTTGTGGTGACATCTGTCATCAGTGTGTCATGCCTCTTACCTCATTGTAGCTTCACCCGTAGTCCGCTTCCATTGTCCTTGTTCTATATTCTATTCTATTTCTTCTAGTGCTAGTCGTTTCACTTCTCATCTTTCCTTGAAGTAGTATATTTGAATTGTAATTGTTTTCCTGCAACGATCGCTCGTTGTGTTATTTATTTGTGTCTTGACTTCATTATTTATTTCGCCAGCGCCTGCAAGGCTGCATGCGCATGCTAGATTCTGTGTTCACGCGTGACTAATGATGTCATCGCTATGCCTTTGCTTGCTGCGCATAGTCGCGTGACTCGCGTAGCTGGTCTTGTTGTTTTCTTTGCTTCGTTCGAGTTGCTGTTGCTCGACTTCGTTTTCAGATCTATTTTCTGCATTCAATGGTGGCCGTGATGGCTGTCGCTGCAATAGCAGCTTCAGCCACGACGGGCCTCTATCGGTTGCTCTTCCGCCATTTTGGATGCCATGTTTTAAGCCTGGTTCACACTAGGCCGATTTTCCGGCCGGTGCTCCGACACCGACTCCGACATGGAGTCTGCCGACTGTGTCGACTGAGTCGGACGGCCTGTTCACACACGGGGAACGACTCACTCGCAATAGAGTCGCATCGATTATCCATAAAAGCAAGAGTTCATGGGGGTTATGAAGTTTTGGTAGGACTTTACATTTCATCAAGAGTACAAAGTACAAGAGGTCATGAGCTCGACATCGACGCTCTTTGCTGTCATGGTGAAAAGCGTACCGTGATTGGTCCGAATCCCGCTCCATCACGTGCAAGCAGTAAAAATCGGCCGGCTTTTCGGCTAAATATCGACCAGTCGATACTTGGCCGAAAACTAGTGCGACAAGAAAATCGCCGCAGATTTGTCGGAACCCTGTACGACAACACCGTTCACACTACGCAATTTTCGCCCCGATCTTGAGGATTTTTCGTACGAGTCCATGTCGGCCGGAAAGTCGGCCTAGTGTGAACCAGGCTTTTAAAAGACGTGTCTTTTCCTGGCCAAAGTGCTGGTGATTTTGTGTTCTTGATGTTCTTTTCTTGTTCTCTCTCCTTTTCCAACTTGCATTTTTCGTGATTCATACATTTCCACCAAGAGGCTGCCGTTTGCGCTGGTGTGTTGTGTTGGGTGAAGAGGGGTGATAGAGAGACTAGATAGCTCCAGTTCTCCCACAACTTTGTGGTGCCGAAACCCGGGAAAGAGCCGGGAAAGAGTCGGGAAAGTGTTTTCGGAGTACGAGTGTCGTAGTGATTTATTTATTTTGTGAGGCGAGAGTTCTTGCTGTGAGTTCCTACTGCGTTCCTACTGTGTGTTCGTGGAATACTCGAGTGAATCATGTCTACCAAGTATCTTGTCCAGCCGTTTTCTGGCAAGGATGGTGAAGACCTAGAGGAATTCTGGGCAATTTTTTTAGTTTTGGCCACTGCCAAGGAATGGTCCGACGAAGATGCACGCATGCAACATCTACCTTTATATTTGCAGGGCGATGCATTTCGATTGTTTGCTCGTATGGCAGAGAGTGACAAAAGCAAACAAGCAGAGGTCAAGAAAGTTTTAGTGAGTGCGTTCAGTGTGACGCCGTCCAGAGCGTATGATTTGTTCAAGCGCCGTTGTTTGCATGTGGATGAAAGTGTCGACGCGTATGTGGCCGATTTGCAGCGTTATGCAGCGCTGTCGGGGCACAAACCGGGTGGTACCGCCAGCAAGGATCCGATCGTGATCGAGCAACTGATCGCTGGCGCCATGGCCTACAGCCCGAATTTGGCCGCCAGCTGAGAATGTCGCTGGCTGGCCAAGAGCTGACGATACCTGCGTGTCTAGAGCGTGTGCGTGCGCTCAGAGCCAGTGAGACCGATGCTCGGTACACGAGCAGGTTCAGCCAGAGCGTTTCTGCTAGTGCCAGTACCAGTAGTTACAGTGGATCATGGAGGTGTACACCGACCAGCTCGCAGTACTGTCTGTTGTCTGCTATAACTGTAATCAGCCTGGGCATGTCCAGCGTAACTGCCCAGAGTTCAAGAAGAAGCAGAAGCCCCGTTTCAGTGGACCAGTAGTGTGCCACTTTTGTGATCAGCTTGGTCATGCAAAGCCAGCGTGCCCCGAGAGAAGGAAGTGGCGAGAAGCCAAGGCAGCAGAACGTGTGGCGGCTGCTGGTACGTCGCATAGTAGCAGTGACAAGTGCCTGTGTGCGGTGTCCACTGAAGCTGCCCCCTTGCCGAGGATCTATGTGGACGTGGAGTCGGCCAAGCCGGATGACTGGTGCCGTGGAGAGGCCATGCTGGACACCGGGTCGGCTCGCACGCTAGTGTCGTCTGGCTTTATACCTGCGGCTAAGATGTGCAGCCAAGTGTCGGCGGTAAAGCAGGAGAAGCTCCTCGCCCTGGATGGCGAAGCCCTGCCGATTTCGGGGTCAATTTCACTAACGATTCGTCGCCTGGATGGACCCGTAAATTTGCCGCCTACCCGTGTTGTTGCGTTTGTAGTTCCTGAGCTGTCGGTTATTAATGCTGACCTGTTGCTGGGATCTGACCTTGTCCGTGCCATCGGTGGCGTCAGGTTGCAGTACTCTGAGTCAGGTGATCTGCGGTCCGTGTTGTTTGGTTCGTCAACCGCCAGTGACCCTGAGCCTGTGTCGTCTGTCGTTAGTGATGCTCTGCAGTCGCCGGATCAGCACCCCTCTCGGCATGTTAGCGTGGTGCAAGACGGTGAGGACGTGACACTATCTGTCGAGGATGGTCAGATAAAGTGGCTAGCAGCTGAGCAGTGTTGGCAGGCAGCATGGAGGTGGAAGGACAACAAGCCACCTACCGGACGCATCGGCAGCGGCATTGGGGAGTACCCCCGGAAACTTAGTGATGATCAAGAGAAGCTGTTCCAGCAAGAAGTGGACTCCTGGATCGGTAACGGATGGCTCATCGAGCATGATGAAGAGGTACACGGAGCTCCTGCTGCAATTCTGCCATGGCTTGCAGTCAGCCAGGAGCACAAGCCTACTACACCTGTTAGGCCTTGCCTCGACTACCGTGCGCTGAACCGTGCCCTCGTGTCTCAGCCCGGTATGGATGCCTCCGTGTGTGGCGAGAAGTTGCGTGAGTGGCGTACGCACGATGCCAACGAGTATGAGATGTTGGATATTCGAAAGGCCTATCTGAAAGTCCGTATGTCACCTGAGTTGCTACGGTATCAGTGCGTGAAATGGAGGGGAAAGCTGTACGTGATGACCCGCATGACTTTCGGGTTAAGCGTTGCACCGAAGTTCATGGACGTGATAGTCAAGTGGTGCACGCGAGATCATGATGGTGTTGACAATTACGTTGACGATCTGTACGTCCCGAAACCGCAGACAAAGGCTGTTGCGGATACCCTCGAGCGCTATGGCCTACGCACGAAGCCAGCCGAGCCCGCCAGTTCCGCCCGAGTACTTGGACTTCAGCTGTTCACTGGCCAAGATGGTCAAACCCGTTGTAAGCGTCGAGACGGAGTGAGTCTCGAGTGTGGCAAGCTGACCAAGCGTGGTGTATTCTCGTGGTGCGGCTGACTGGTATTGCACTATCCCGTGTGCTCGTGGCTGCGACCTGCCTGCAGCTTTCTGAAGCGCCTAGCATGTCGTGATGGTGGTGGTTGGGATGATGACATCCCCAATGATGTGGTAACCTGTTGTGCCGAACTAGCAAGTCGCGTCCAAGATAAGGATCCGGCCACAGGCGTGTGGAATGCGTCAGTGAACGAGCAGCAGCTCACCGTGTGGTGCGATGCGTCTGATGTCGCATATGGCATTGTTGCCGAAGTTGGTGGTGAAGTCATGGAGGACAAGTCTTGGCTTCGCGATGCCGACGAGAAGAAGCATATCAACATCGCAGAATTGGAAGCAGTAATCCGTGGGTTGTCGACGGCAGTCGAATGGAACGCCAGCAACATCCGTCTTGTCACTGATTCCAAGACCGTGTACGGCTGGGTGAAGTCGTGCCTGAACAATGAGCGGCGTGTCAAGGTGTCCGGTCTGAACGAAGTGTTGGTTCGCCGACGACTGAACATCATCGACGACATTGTCGCGACCGCGAAGCTGTCCGTCACCATTGAGTGGGTACCGTCCCAGCAGAACAAGGCTGACAAGCTGACGCGTGTCCCAGATTTGTTCATCCGCTGCTGGAAGAATTCAGCCAAGCCAGATGTAGTTGCTGCCGTCTCTGCACCCCCAAAGATTGTGAGTGCTTTTGTGTTACAGGACATTCTTGATGCGCAGAAGCCTGATCCTGTTGTTGTTAGTGTGATTAAGTCTGTGCGTCATGGTCGTGAGATTTCCGACCCGGTATTTAAGAAATTGAAGTCTCAATTGTCTGTATCTGATGATGGTTACTTGTATCGTAGTGTGAAGGTACCGCCAAATGATGTGCGTGTTGTACCAGTTGTGTCTCAGTCATTGCAGCAGCGAGTGGTGTGTCGTGCCCATGCTGTGAGCGGTCATTCCAGTTGGGAGACCACATGGAAGCTGTTGCGTGCGAGTTGTTATTTTGCAAATATGGCTGTTGTTTGTCAGTCGTTGATTCAGTCGTGTGATGTGTGTGCTGCTGCTAATTCGAAGCGTGGGCCTGTTGCTGAGCCAACACGTCCGGTTATTCCATCTGGTCCATGGTACAGCTCGATACCCTGGAGTTGGGTCCGAATAGAAGCCACCGGTATCATTGTGTTCTTGTCTGTACCGATATGTTTACTAAGTGGGTCGAGGTTGTCCCATTGGTTCGCCATGATGGTCCGTCTGTAGCAGCTGCGTTATTCCCTGATTATTGGAAGGGCTGTGTTTGCTAGTAAAAAAAAGGAAGAAAGAAAAAGTGCTCCACAGAAACAACATAGAATTATTACAGAGATAATGCAGGGGGGGGGGGGTACTAAGGGGAAAGTAGGTAAATATGAGAGAGTCTAGAAGTGAATGGAAGAGGGAACAGAGTAAGAGCATTTTCGTCTTTTGTCTTTAGTTCGTAGCCTGTCCATTACCCACTCCCAGTGGGTAAAGTGCAGGTGGGCATTGACCTTCTCTTTGAACATCTGCAATGCTTTCCTTGTTCACGGATTCAGCAGAACACACTGCGGGAGCTGGTTCCAGACCTCCACAACGTGCTGAGGGAAGGATAAAAGTACATCATTCCGTTCTCTGAGGGGAAGAGTGCTCCAAGCGTTCTGTGAATGCCTGGGCAATGGAGGTTTTTCTTTCTTTCTTCATTTTTCTACATTGATCACGGCTCTCGGGCAACGACAACAAAATTGCATAGTGGGAGCATAGTGATTGTGAGGCTTTCTGGCCTCAGCCGACCTGAGGTCTCGACATTATGGGGACATAAAACGCACCAAATAAAGAAGAAGAAAAATGAAAAAAGTGACAGGTACATGACACTAAATGTTAGGAGGAGAGACAGTACATTAGAAGGAGGGGAAAGATAAGACAGAGAGTGTTAGGAGGAGAAGGAGAGAAAAGAAGGAAACACGTTATTGGAATGAGTACATGGAGCGGAATTTGAAAATCATGGGGTGAGGCAGATATGATGCTGATACTCAGAGATGATCATGTGCTCACAATCAGTCGTTGTTCTTCAAACAGCGGTTGGCTGCAACTTTGAAATGTTGCAAGTTCTTGGTGCAAAATGGACCAGAAAAGACTCCGGCGGGCAGCTGGTTCCAGACGGGGAAAACTGCGCGAGGTAAGGCTCGACACAGGTTGTTTCGGGAAGGGACTGGAAGTTCATTTGCCAGTCGGTGTGCGTGGGCGTTACATCTTTGAAACGCACTACGGGTGGAGTGGACTGTTTGGGATTGGGGCTGCTGGGGTGGCAATATTCTCTGTAGAAGGCAATGTGCATCTGGACAATGCATATTGTACAGGAGGCAAAGGTACGGTCCCTCACTGATTAGGCGATGGCCACCCTGTTGGACGGGGCGAGCCAGAGTGGTTTGTGCCCGGGCGGACAAAGCGCTTGCAGATCACACAATGACACCTGGAGTCCAGCACTCGAGAGGGATTCCGGAGGAAGCCGAGATGCTGCGATCCTCGAATAGCCAACTTGGAAACATATACCAGATCTCTTCAAGACATTGGACTTACGAGCACGTTTGAGGTGACGCAAGCAACTTATTATCGTTTTCCAGGCTAATGAAGCTAAGGAAAAATGTTGATAGGAAAAACCTCAGGCTCTTCAAAAACGTTCTGAAAACTAATGGTTTCGCGAGTAAACTTCCGTACCTTCTGCTCAGGTGATATATAAGCAAGAGAAAACAAGAGCTAATACAATGAATTATGAACTCGGATGGTGAGCCAATGAACATATTGTGGTTGAAAAGGAGAAGGACAAAAAATGGCCAAGGATCTGCTAAAACCACCCGTTGGTGCTATTTTGCCGAAAATGAGTTTTTGGCGGGAAGTTGGTCCCTGGCCATTGCCCAAACATATGGTGAAGTATTAGGCTCAAATTGTATATATTCATTGAATCATGACCCATCTTATGCAAGCTTTTGGCGCATAAAAATGCCGAAAATAATTGATATTCACACTATAATTCGTATCTGAGGCTTCATACACCTGTCATACACCTGTCTATGTACAGAGAAAAACTATGTTGCATAGCTAACCAGTATTCTACTATGTATGTTCTGAACAAATAATTGGGACATTGGCTCTGCTTGGTCTGGTGTTGGGCAGGTGATATATCTGCTCTCTACGTGGCAGTGCTGACGAATCTGTTGGTGCAAGTACTTTGCACGTTGTGGTGAGATTCCAGCCGTCTTGAGCGTCACTGGCAGATGATCAGATGCCAGGCAGTAATACACGTTTGATAAAGGTCACGGGCCACGTTACCTTCATTGGTTCCGCCAGCAAAGCCGTACAGGACAAGGCCAGGCCAGTGAGGCTACGCATGAAAAGCCACGAGGCCAAGCTGTCAGTGTACCGTAAACGTCTGGATTTGAAACTGAATGATCAAGATGTGTACGTGAATAACGACCTGACCAAGCAACAGCAGATTGCTAGACGACAGGCCCTGCCTAGGTATAAGGAACTCCGCCAAAAGGAGATCCGTTGCTCGCTACCGTATGGCGAGATTTTGAACCCAGATGGCACCCCATACAGTGCAACTGAAATCGATGAGCTAGCAACACAATAGGTTTCATCAGGGTGTCCAAGTAATCACCAGCAACACTCCCTCTCAGCTACTTCACCTCATGTCCGAGCAACAGATGTCGTCGCTGACCCAGCACCTAACATTTTAAGAAATCCTTGTAACTATCCATCCAGTCAAACAGTGCCTGATTGTCCGTCTTCACCCATCAAGAGCTTAACCATCGCCCACATCAACATCTGTAGCCTAAGAAATAAAACTCATGAAATCCATTGCATAATGTACAAGTACAGAATCGATGTGCTAGCAATCAGTGAAACATGCTTGGACTCTTCTGTGATGAATTGCGATCTTGCTATACCAGCCTACACTCACTATCGCCGGGACCGAGCTGATCGCAGAAAGGGTGGCGGCGTTGCCATGTATGTGCAGGAACAACTGAAACCCAGGCAACTTCAAGTAAACGACAGGCTAGAGACCATATTCGTGGGGTTGCACACCCATAGCCGAACGAATCCATTTCTATCCATCGGCTGCGTATACCGCGCTCCCGACAGCCATGTGGATTTCTGGGAGCAGCTCGACAATAGCGTGCAGATGGCCTCCGCAACATGTCCGGACATCCTCCTCCTCGGTGATTACAATGTCAACATGCTCTCTGTCCCACCTCACCCAAACGCCCGCTATGTACAAGGCCTCTGCGCTGACCACAGCTTACAAAACGTCATACTACAGCCCACCAGAGTTCCTAGTCAGTCATGCCTAGACCTTGCACTCATACCGACAACAATGACAACGGCTGCTCCGTCTTCCTCTCCCATGTCTCTTCATAGTAGATTTGTTGACAGCGTCGATGGCCTGTCCGACCACCATCTTATTGGCCTCTCTGTCCGTGTTAGTAGAGCCAACTTTGAACAGCCACACGAGCAATTCTCTCGAAGACGCCAACCTAGCCTGGCTCACCTTGACCGTAGGGTAACGTCTGCAGCTCTCAAACACATCCTTGACCCCTCAGATGTATCCGGCGGTTATACTCTAAATGCAGCGGCAAGCCACTGGCAACAAAGTGTCATGACAGTACTAGATGATCTTGCACCATTCGTTACCCAGAAGCGCGCAGCTTACTCCAAACCCCGCCCCCAGCCCTGGGTCACCCCAGAGCTGAAACAGATGTTTCATCGACGAAGCTCAGCCCACCGCGCCTTAATAAAGCACCCCATGGATGACCGCCTCCGACAGCTGATATGAATCTAAAGACTGGTTATAGGTTCTGAATTATTATTGCTACTTCCTAGAATATGAATGACAAGAGTAGAGACGAAACTAAATGTGGAGACTCAAGCTCAAGAACAACAAGAAGACCGAGAACAGCTCAAATCACAGCTGGTGGGCATGCATGCATCCAATCAGTATTATAGCGTACGCATGACATCACAACATGTATGCGCGAGCATGCAGCACAAAGACAGGAGCGCGAGCGTAGTATGCATATACATCACACGCCCCTTCGAGATTATACTGGATAACGAGAACAGTATGATCTAACAAGAGAAATCAAATAAAGAAATATGTGACTGCAAGAACACGGAAAGCAGTAGAAATGCGACAGAAATCAAACATATGACTGTCCATTTGTGGAAGAAATGTCCAAACGGTCAGTAGCACGGCGGTTGCGAGTGCTGCGACGTGGAGCTACAGGAGCAGGTTGATCAGCGGGTGGATTGGCAGGCACAGTACCATCAGGGGTAGCGGGCACAAGGGGAATGAACGGGCGGAGAAAACGCCGGTTACGCCAGTACACTCTTCCACTAGTTAACTTCACGTAGTAATCACGGTGACGACCAACACCAACGATAACACCACGCTTACACCACAGCTTCGACCGGGGGTCCTGCACGTCCACATGGGTGCCGATACGGAGCTCGGACAACGGGCGAGCAGAGACATCGAATTGAGCCGGAGCAGACGGAGGAGCTGCATCTGTGTCGTCGGCGAGGGTCTGCCATTCGGACGAGAAGCTACGGTGATGCGCAAGCACAAATGACGACAGAGGTCGGCCATACAGCTTTTGTGCGGGGCTGATGCCATCAGACCTCGGAGTGTTACGCCATTCTAACAGCCCGCGTTGGAATGCGTCCACATCAAGGCGGCCATTGGTGGTCGTCTTGTGAACAAGTGTCTTCATCGCCTTTACACCAGCCTCTGCGTGACCATTGCTCTGAGGGAAGTGCGGTGTAGACATAACATGGGAAATCTGCCAGCGGCGACAGAACTCGGCAAATTGGTGGGACGCAAACTGGGGGCCACCATCAGTGCACAGAACAGACGGCACACCAACATCTGGGAACCAACGGCGCAAATGGACGATCACATCGTGTGAGGACGTCGTGGTACCGGTCGGTGCGAGGCATGGCCATCCGGATAAGCGATCTACATAGACGAGAAATTCACGGCCTTGGCAAGTGAATAGATCTGCGCTGGTGTGCTCAAATGGCAGAGTCGGGTGACGATCGTTGAGCAGCGGTTCCCTCGGGAGCGATGCTTGGCGTTCCCGACACGTAGGGCATGCGCGAATCAGTGTCTCCAGATCTTGGCTCAACTTGGGCCAATACACCACCTGACGTGCTCTAGCCTTGGTACGTACAATACCCTGGTGGGAGGCGTGGAGATCTTGGAGAACATGTTGACGGAGGGACACGGGCA